GCCCCCGCCGCCGCCCCACTGGACCGGACCAGCATAGCGCTCCAGGGCACAACCTTACCTAATCCGTTTCGGACTCATCCTCTCGTTCTCTCCCCAGAACAGTACGAGCGCAGGTGATTTACCGTGTGGCAGACCGTGTGGAAGACAACATTCGAGAAGATGCAGCATCACTGATCGAGCCTGCAGAAGTGAAGTGGATGAGGCAGGTGGGGCGAGCGAGAGGCGAGGGGGAGGGGGAGAGGGAGGGAGACAGACACATGGGTGCCATTAGGCGCCATGCGGCACCAAATGTGGGCCGGCAAGGTGAGACACGAGCGCACGCTTCCAATCCAATCCACTCCACAGCATCCATCAGTCCGGAGCGAGCGAGGGTGGATGTGACCAAACACACACATGCACGCTCACACGGTCTAACTATGGACTGGGGCAGCAGCGGTGGCGGGGGGAGGTCAACCAACAACTAGGAGAGTAGCCGGAGGCTCGCGTCGTCCGGGTGATTGCGGGGGTAGTTGTCCAATTCAACGGGCGTTGTTTGGAAAACGGTTCAATAGTCCAGCGCTTTTGCTTCCGGGCGGCTGGCGGAGTATGGCTCGCGCCCCGGCGGCGGCGGCGAGGCCCCGGCCGGCCCCGGGAGCCAGCACGTTCAAGGGTGCCGGCGCCGGCCGACTGCGGTGTGCTGGGCGCCGCCCATGGAGACCCCCATGCCCGTGTACGGTATAGGCTCGCGCCCGGCGGCAGCAGCCCGCCCCGCCCCGCCCCGCCGCGCCGCACCACCGCCGGGGCAGCAAATCAAAACCAAATCGCGACGTGCAGCGCGCAGCGCAGGCAGGACTTCCGGGCGGCGCGTAGGAATGCAGCCGCACCTGCACGGCGCCGCACTGCACTCTTTACGCGATATAGGGGGGGGGGGTCTGATGAGCTCCCTCTGCCGTCTGATTCAGAAGATTGTTCAAGAGGGGCTCTCCTATACCTGCCCCATGAGTGCAACAAGGACGGAGCTATACGGGAGGTATAGGAAAGCCCCTCTTGAACGATCTTCTGAATCAGACGACTGGCGTTGTCATCGCCATCCTCGCAATCTCCATCCAGCCGCAGCCTCACGCCGTGGTCGCCCTGTCACCGGCCCGCCTGTCTCGTGTCCGTGACCTCCAGGGAGACCCAGCGTGGCCAGGCGCCAGTTTTGGCCCGGGGCCGGTGCTGGCCGCGGGGCCTTGCTCGCGGCGACCTCATCGCCCAGGTGTGTGGGACGGAGCACGAGAGCGCCCTGCTTCCGGAGTAGAGAGATTTGCCTCCTCTGTCGCACCTCATAGGGGAGGTCGTCATAGGATGCCTACATGAGTTCAATTCGCTTTCGGACGCGATGTAGCTCCGAAAGCCATGTAGGCATCCGATGCTCGCTCGCTGAAGGGCTCTGTTACGGTCTCTGGGCGCTCTCAAAGCGCCTGGAGGGTAGGCAACATGTTGCCTGCAGTGCATGTGCGTATTGCGTGGTAGCCTACTTTGACTTTCGCAGGCGCCGTGCTCTCGTAACTTGTCGAATGAATCTCAGATAAACGGGCGTACTATCTGGGCGATTCCTTACTCGCACGAGGCCAGTACAGTATTTTACTTCGTATTCGAGTCTTGGGTCATAACGGGTCATAAGGCGCCGCGGTGAGAGTCGTAGTATTATGACCAGTAAAAGCTCCCGTGCCGCCCTGTGCTACAGAAAGAGCGAGGGAGGAGGAGGGCGGGGGCCTTACCCTCCGGTAAAGACGGTCGTGGGGACTGTCTAAGAAGTAAGTCTTGTAGCACTCACACGAGCTACGACTCGCTCTCACTACAAACGTACTATGTATTTTAGTCGACAGTACTACCCCGCCACAACTTTAAAGGGAGGAGCAGTCATTGGAGCAGCGGCAGGTTCTCCCCGGCTCGTGAGCTGCCCGATTTGGAGCGCGTCGGACACTTCCCGAAGTCCACTCACACGCCCGGAGCGGCGTGCGGCGGTCAATGCGCCCCGGGTCGCCATCGGGCGGACCCGTCCCGTCGACCCCGCGGGTGTCCACCTTGCGTGTCCACTGCCCCCGGGGCGGCCGTGACGCCGGTGCCGCGCACGGCCAGGGTCTTGCGCTTCCCGCCCTGATGCTGTGGCGCACGTCGCGGCCGGCTCAACTTGGGACGCCATACAAGGCGAAGAGCAGCCGCTCCCGCCCGCGCCGCGCCGGCCGGCGGGGTGGGTGGGTGCGGCCGGAAGACAACAAACGACAAACGCACGTAGCTTGCACACCGTGCGCACTTACCACAAGGGATACCAGGCGCGGATTAAAGTCCGGCTGACCGGGGGGGCGGGGGCGGTGATGCACTGCCGGATGCCTACCTTCAGGGGTTGTGTGGCGCAAATTGACCACTTTCCTGACGGCTTCCCAGAGACCGGAGGGGGCGATCGCCCCCCCCCCCCCAAATCCGCGTCTGGAGGATATACTATGTACAAGCACTCACCTTTACCTACGAACTAATTAAAACACTAGTCTTGCTGATGTAATTTGCCCGCCGTCCGACTCAGAGGAGCGTTCAAGAGGGGCTCTCCTATACCTCCCGTATAGCTCCGTCCTAGTTGCACTCATGGGGCAGCCCCTCTTGAACGCTCTTCTGAATCAGACGGCTGAAAACGACGGTTTCTGGGTTTACTTCGTGGATTCGACCTGACAACTCGACGAGCCACTAGTGAGAAATCAACGTCAAATCCACATGTTTTCGACGTCGACTCCATCATTTCGACATGATTTCTATGTCGATTCAACCATCATGTCTCTCTGGGCTTGCGCTAGACGCAATGATAGCGATAGTGCACGTATGGTCGACCAATATACTTTAAAGAGACGAAGGAGCAGGTGTACAACAGCAAAGACGTAGCCATCCATAGAAGCTCCCGCAGAAGCTCGCCCGTCCGCCCCTGCCTACCCCGCCCCCGCCCCCCACCGGGCCGGCCCACGACCTTGACCGGTCGGCGGCATGGCGCGGCGTGGCGCGGGGACTTCCCTTCCCCGCGTGCCAGCGCGCCGAGTGCAGCGGCCCGGTCCCCTTTAGGAGCATGTCCTTGTCACTGCTCCCGAGCACACACATGCGCCCCGCTCCAGCGTCACCGGCACATCGGTCCTGGAGACCACACGGGTTGGAAAAGATGGTGGCAAGTCCGAAAATTTCAGTAATTTGCCAGCACCAGGTAATGATTCCCACTTGGCCATGGGCATATTGTTTGGAAACACACAGATGTTAGGGGTTTAAAGGTAGCACGATAAAAGCAAAAATTTCACTTGAAATGTACCTTATAATTTCTAAGAGCAAGCACTTTACATAACACATCACTGCAAGATGTCATCTTAACCATACACAATAAAATTAAAATAATACAACTAATCAAATATAAACGTTAATGCCAATAACTATTTTTATGAGAAAAATTCAGTTTACACTTGAGTTGAGAACTAAAATGAATAGAAAATGTACAGGATCACCATCCGGGAGTAGTATTTGCAAGACGCCGCATTCGTCTGAAACCAACAGAAAGCAAACAATGAATGGGACCATTGGGTGACCCACCAACAAAGTGCTGCAACTGGAACAAACACATACCTTGTATTTCTGTCCTGATCCCGGATCTTTTTCTCCATCTCAGCATCAGTGAGTGTCTCCAAAAATGGAGCCCATTGGTCTGATTCAGATGGTGGCCTGAATGGAACCTCAACTGTTGGCAAAGGTGCTTCACTGAAAAATGAATAAATGGAGCAGAATTGTTACTAGATCGCCTGTAGACATAGTGCAAGAATAATCAACACATTGAAAACAAACAAACAAACAGTACCTGAATGCGTAAGTTCGTTGGTGCCATGTGAGCTGTCCCCTAATACTGTAAGCTATAGCAGTGACAAATTCCCCACCAAGCCCTAGCTCAGCACACAACTTCATTGCAAAAGTTTCAGGGTTGTTGTCCTTTTCACTCATGTCCCATTCAACCTGATCAACTAGGGAAGTGTTGCCAACATGAATATTTAACTGCAGGGAAAAAACAAAAATTAATACTGCATAAACACGAGTATTGGACTTCAAAATACAATACAGTTCTTGAAAGGTTACAATACCTTCACAATGACCCGTTGGTCTGGAGCTTCCTCAACAATGGTCCCATCACTGGGGAAGCTGTCCACTTGCCCACGAATAGCCTGAGCAATAGCAGGAATGAATGTAACTGGGTTTAAATCAAGGTCATCACAGAGTACCTCTGCAAACTGTTCTGGAGTTATGAGACTTTCTGGAATAAAAATGAGAACAACATATTAATTTTAAAGTGACAGATGAAAATAAAAAAAAAGTTAATGCAATGACTAGATCAATAAACCTCACCATTTTTATTCCATGTAAAGGTGTCACGTAACTTCTGTCCCTCAATTTCCATGTCTAAACGAATTGGAACAAGAGTTTCCATTTGACTGGCATTTTCTTGAATAGCACCAGGATCAGTATCATCAAAACTGAAAATCAAAGCGTGAGTTTGAAAAAGATTTTGAAATGAAAACCTTAACACTGAACCGGGAAGTGGAATGTAGGCTTACCAAAGGGGGAATGTCCGGACTTTTTTAAGATTCACTCTATTGCGATTTATTGGTGTTGCTTGAGGCACAGCATCCAAATGTGAACTGTTCGGTACAGAGGGAACCCAAGGTACACTCTTCTTAGGCTTTGGTTCTCTGCAAAGGAATAAACTATATCAGTGGATACAATAAACTAGATATATAAATGGTAAACAGTTGGAAGATAGATTAAATACCTTGGAGCAGGAGGTTCTGAATGAACTGAAATTGCTTTGTACTTTTCATCATTGCCTTCTATAATGTCTTCAACTTCGGAAGCTTTCAATAGAGATACGCTGGATGCCAGACAGTGTTGACTCAACCCTGAACATACAGAAGCAATTTAAAACATGCATGTATAATCTGAATTCTTAACAACTAAGAAGGAAAAGGACAGAAGCCAGAAGTGTAAATTTATCAGGGACACCGGTTTAGTCCCCATCGTTTGGCCAAAACTTCTCGGAAAGCAACTAACTGTCAAATAGAGGGTCGCTCTTGCCTAGCTCAAGTAGCTTTTTCCGCTCGTCGTTGCTGATGGCTCTTCTAAACATCCCAGGATACTTCTTGTAGAGTGAACCTCTGAAGAGCCGGAGGTAGTTGCCCACCTGCACGCAAATTAGATAAATTATAGACAATAGTTGACTGATTGATTCAGCCAAGGGTAGTAAGTCAACCAGGCAAAACCCTATCTCCTCACTCATTTTGGACAACGGTCAATGGCAGCAGGTCAGAAACAACTCAAAAGTTTCAAAAGGACAAAATTTAAACGAAAAACACAGTAATATTGACATTTCTAATAAGTAAACGTAGAACCACAGGACCACCCGGCAAAGGGATAGGCCAACATGACGCTCGACACAAGCCGGGCTGGTAGCACTCAAAACCAAATAACAAGATCCAGGAATATTTTCAGGATAAAAAATAACAATTTACCTCCGACCCAATACAGTAGTATTCGCCATTTTCTTCGATTTGGAAGCTCAACGGCTTGTCGCCGTACGTTCGGATCGCCATTTTTAGGGTTAGCGTTGTTTTGATGAAGGTGATGCCTTGTCTAAAACTGTGGCGCGATTTTAGATTGCTAAGGGATTGTCGAAGTATTCTCAGCTAAGGCGGCGACGTCATACTTTGCTTCGAGTTAAAAGAATCTTGTTTCTGACGTTTTAATATGCCAATGAAGCGAATGAAAGGAAACTATAAAATATAACTAGTCTCTTTGTGTATCTTCACATCACCATTTTTACAAATTATATAGACTTTTCCATTTTTTGACCGAATGGCTCCCGTCTGCCTCATCCCCAGCCTTGTTGTTGTTGCTTGTTTTGGTTACTTTGCTCGATGGCGGCCTGTCGTCTGCTGGACAGGCCCAACTTTGATGTTGTTGAGAAATAATGGATACTATCCTGTTAGTGACAAGTCACACACGCTATTTGCCAAAAAATGGCTTACAGAATAAAAAATCGGTATAATTCCTTGACCAGCCACTATTAAGTAGGGCTTAGACTCTCAAGGCCGCCAGATTGGAAGAGTCAGTTCGGTTTGACATTTTTAACCATGGCTATGTTTCATCCAAGATGTGGCCGAAGAATCACATTATTTGATGACAATCGTACGGCTGTTAGGAATTTCAGTGAATTTAATTATGGATTGGTTTTGAGTAGTCAGCCTTTGGCAGAAAATCAACTATTTGAAGTTAGGATTGAAAAGAAGGTGAGTTATCTGCATCTTGTGTACATCGTTAATTGAGTTAGCTTTTCACCTCTGACCTAAGTTATTATTTTAGATTCTTCCTTGGAGTGGTAGCATAGAAATAGGGGTGACAGTATGTGATCCAGAAACAATGGATCTTCCAGCATGTGCAACAGATTTGGGAAACGGAACATGGGTAAATTAATTTTGTCGTGATGATATACTGTGGAGTCAAACCTGTCATTTTACGAATTTTCCTCTCATTTTCTACAACATTTCTCCCCAGATGATGTCAGGCAATTCCATTCTGAAAGATGGTCTTTCACTTGTAGAGGTTTATGGACGAAACTTGGATAGTCTTGTTGAGGGAGACTGTTTGGGTGTCATGCGAACTTCGAACGTGAGTTAATTAATTCCTTTCTCTTTGCTACATTTATAAGCAGTCTCCTTCTGATCATCAATTCTTGATTGCTTCTCATTTTCCAGAATGATCTTATTTTTTATGTGAATGGAGATTCTCAAGGGGTTGCTGCAACTAACATTCCATCTCGGGTATTTGCTGTAGTTGATCTTTATGGCAAATGTGCACAGGTGTCCATTGTTGATAGTTCAAGAGATCGTAAGTCTTTCTGTTCTGTATGAAAATGGTTGATGACTGAGCCATGAGCTGATTAAAAATGCAACATGATATTTTCTAACAAAGTTTTTGCTTGTTTCTTTTAGGTGAGTTTGAATTTGATGGTTCAAGTGATCAATCATTCATTGCTTCTGTCACCAATATGGTGGCCAATATTAGTTCGGATAGAAGTGCAGGGAGTGGTGAAGAGGTTGATGGAGATTCTGAGAGTAACACCAGTCGTAACAGCATAGGATTAAGCATGGAAAGAACTCAAACATCTAGATCTTCCTCCTATCAAAAACAAATCTCTTCTGACCGACTTCGCTTTCATACTCGATGTGGGTCTCTTGTAAAACTTAGTTTCAATGGTAGGACTGCCGAAAGAACAAGACCACTTGATGAATTTAATGATGGTGTTGTAATGACAAATCGCACCCTCCGTCCAGATGAACTCTTTGAGGTAACAATTATTTATCTTTAATGAAAGAGTATACATTCACTCAAATTTTCACTTATAATTGAATCTCTTGCAGATAAGAATTGACAGACTTGTAGAAAAGTGGTCTGGAAGTATTGAAGTTGGTGTCACAACACATAACCCTGCCACTCTGCAATTTCCTGCCACAATGACGAATATGAGGAGTGGTACAACCATGATGTCAGGTAATGGGATTTTGACAAACGGTAAAGGCACAAGACGAGAATATGGGGAATTCAATCTTGATGAGCTCCGAGTAAGTACTAATAGTTTAAGCCCTCATGAATCGTTTGGGTAGTTGGTATGTATGGACTGATATTCAATTTTCTTTCTGTTCCTTTGAAGGAGGGGGATAGAATTGGTATGGTACGGAAATTGAATGGAGACCTGCATTTTTTCATCAACGGGCTTGACCAAGGAGTAGCTGCAAACAATGTCCCTGCGTGCATATGGGGGGTTGTGGACCTTTATGGAATGACTGTGAAAGTACGGCAACAATCATTAGTCAATTTACCTGTGAAGTTATCCTTTGAAGTTTATTCTTAATAATTTAATTTAATACGATCATGTCAAATTCTTCTTCCTTTTTGTTATTTGGCGTAGGTTACTATTGTAAATCGTGATGAAAGAGAGGAACAAAACCTTATGACCCGTCGTAATACCTCCTTGAGAGATCAACAGGCTTTATATGCTCTAAATGGTATGTCATTTCTAATAATTCTTGTATTTTTCAACTATTTTTGGTATGTTTTCTCTTTTTAGGATACATCTCATTAACTTCTTTTCTTAATTAAAATTTTACTTTAGATGTACCTGAAGAGGATTTTTCGGATCGTCTTCAGTTTCACCCAAGGTGTGGAACTCATGCAGCTGTAATCAGAGGAAACCGAACAGCACATAGGCCAAAGTAAAATTATTATTATTGATGCTTAAATATTGCTTGTATTCCCCACTTGTCATTTCTCTTTTTTTTATCCGAGGATAGATTCATACTGACTTTTATTTCCAGTGCACTAGAGGATTTTAACAATGGTGTGGTGCTTACTAGCAGACCATTGAGAGCAAATGAGCTTTTTGAGGTACGACTGGACAAGATGGTTTCAAAGTGGGCTGGTTCTATAGAGATTGGAGTGACAACATACTGTCCCACTGAATTAGAATACCCTGCCACTATGACCAATATTAGGTACACCTTTGATTTTTCCTTCCCCAACAGTGATCCTACTGTATTTCATAGCTATCTATTTCTTTCATGATACAATAACCAAAAATGTTTCTTTTATTTTCCAAGATCCGGTACTTGGATGATGACAGGGAAAGGAGTGATGCAGAATGGAATAACAGTTATTGATGAATATGGAATGAATCTTGACACTCTTCAGGTTTGTAAACTAGTGGTAAACTACACGGTCAGAAGAAATGATTTGCAATATTGGTGATCTATCTATGTCACTGATTTATTATTGGTTTCTTTCAAAGGTTGGAGATAGAGTTGGTGTTATGCGCAATGAATCAGGCACTTTGCACTTTTACGTCAACAGTGTTGATCAGGGAGAAGCATCAACTAATGTCCCTCAAAGGGTGTATGGTGTGATTGATTTATACGGTCAAGCATCACAAGCTACTATAGTTGACATGGACTGTTCCCCTGACACTGCCCACTCAAGTATATCCAATGCTACTTGGCCATACAGGTATTACAAATACAAGTGTGATTAAATGTGCTTGAATATTCAAAGATTACTCTTATCAATATTATTATATCTACTTTCTATGCCCATTTTTTTTAGTGATCTTCGATTCTATCATATACATGGAAGAAATGCTCGCATATCAAATAATGGGTTTACAGCTTCAAGACCAAGGGCATACAGTGAATTTAGTGAGGCTATAGTTATCTGCAATCGGCCCTTGCGAGATGGAGAGTTATTTGAAGTTGTTATTGAGAAAATTGTTGATAGATGGTCAAGCTCAATTGAAGCAGGTACAATATCTCAAAGAACTCAAAAGAATTCTTGTAGACCTATTGCACTTTAAAATTTATGAGTGTGTTACTTCTATATTCTCAGGAGTTACTGCACTTCGCCCAGACGAATTAGAATTTCCAAGTACAATGACAGAAATTGACCACGACACCTGGATGTTATCAGGATCAGCGTTGATGCGTGACGGCACAGTGCGAAATATGTATTCCTGTGATTTAGATACATTGCCAATTCGAACACGTCTTGGTAATACATTTGAAAGAGATACTGCTTTCTGCTCATTAAGCAGATAAATGTTCTGTTGAAATTTTATTTCGTCTCTGGTTGATTGTTATCCCTCTTTTGTTTTAGGCATGATGCGTACTGCTGATGGGGTTTTACATTATTATGTTGATGGTGCAGATCAAGGACCTGCTTTCGAAGGACTACCCCAGTATGTATATCCTGTCATTGATCTCTATGGGCAGTGTGCACAGGTACGTGTTAAGATTATGTTTTCGTTTTAAATTTATATAACAGTATATTATTTTTTAAATCTTGTCATCTGTCATGAAAAAATATTTATTAGGTTTTTATCTTACACCTCCAGGTTTCAATTGTTTCCCATGGAGACACTACTCAGGGATCTGTGGCTCTGCAGTGCTTGAGTGAAAACAGCTGTTCCCAACAAGCTCAGCTCACTCAACTAAGCCAACATTTGCATCAACAACAGGATGCACCAATGACTGACAAACAACCGCCTCCAACTCATACTCTACACAGGTAAATTCCATGGGGAATGTTGTTGTTCACAGTTTGTATACCAATCCAGACCAGTCTAATTTTCTGCATCTTATATTCAACTTGGAAACCTACTTGCAGATTCATACCAATATGCGGGAAAAATGTGATTCTTTCAAGTGATAACACGGCTGCAGCAAGAAGGGGACGAACTTACAATCATGGTCTAGTGTTTTGTTCAGTCCCACTTCACATTAGTGAAATCTTTGAGGTACAAGTTGCTGCATTGGCTCTTCATTGGGCTGGTTCTCTAGCTATTGGTCTAACTACTTTACCAATAGAAAGCATGCGTGCAAGAAACCTTCCCGAATGCATTGGTGTTATTGATTCAGATACATGGTACCTCACTGGTTAGTTAAAATTGAATTTTGTTCTCTTTTTGCTCAGATTTATTTTCAAAAATAAATTTTAAGAGATTATTTTTATTTTCAGGAAATGAAGTTCGCAAAAATAACACAATTCTAAAAGTCAACTATTGTCACAGTTTGGATTGGCTTGCTGTTGGAAATAGAGTTGGAATTAAAAGAACTCCTGACAATGCTATCCACTTTTTGCTCAATGGCAAGGATATGGGAGTGGCTGCTGTGTATGCTCCAAGACAATACGAAAATTTGTATCCAGTGCTTGATTTGTATGGGTCAGTGGCAGCTGTGGGGGTCACTAGTTGTTCTCTGCCAGCTGCACCACTAGCCATGGTTACTGATATGACCGCCACATCTGCCCCTATACGGCTTGCAAGTGGTGAGTCACCTCTTGGTTCACCAACAGATGACCAGGTTGGAGATGACTATTCACAGCACTCGAGCAGATTACATGATTCTCTGGAAAATATCTTCTTAGAGCAAAGGTGAAAGAATATCTTTGTGCCTGGGCTTTTCTATTCCACATGCACAAAATTTTAAAACTTTGTTTTGTTTTTAATTTTAGGAGAAGTAGTGAAGTTAGTGAAGCAAAAGTGTTAGAGCAGCCTGAGGATAGTCTCACAAGTCTTTCTAGTCCACAATGGATCCCATCTGCAGATATGGTAATCTTGTGGCAATTTAAAAAAAATATAAGCATTTATTAGCACTGTGCCTAGGGGCCAGATAAAGTCTCATGCTGTTTCTCTCTTTTTTTTCCTTTGAAGTTGGATGACACTATTGCTATGGAACTTCATGATATCCATGGGCTTAACTTGGTGCTAGGAGAGGGTCGTCGTTCTGCAAGAAGAATTTTAAGCTACAATAATGCTGTGGTTTTGACAGCTAGGCCAATTATTCCCAATAAAACTCTTCAGGTACATCTTCTGCCATGTTCATTTCTGTTCGATTATTTTAATATTTCAGAATTATTTAAGTAAGAAATTTTTAAAATTCCACTAAACCCATCTTTTTACAGATACGTTTGGATCGGCTGAATCCCCAATGGGTTTCATCAATTATGTTGGGTGTTACATGTCAATTTCCAGAGCAAGCTTTTTCATTGCCACCCACTGCTCTTGGATTTAAACAAGACACATGGGTTTTATCTGGTGATTCTGTATATCACAATGGATCCAAGGTAAATGTTTTAGGTTCCCTCTTTAAAGTGGAAAAAAATACAAATTTATTCTAATCTAGTTCTTATTACAGGCCCGAGGGCGATGGTTGTTCAATCTTGATACTTTGTCAGTTGGTTCAATAATTGGACTGAGAATTGATGCCGCTGGACTGCTGTTTGTATCGCTTAATGGTCAAGATACAGCTACTGTAGCTACGGACCTACGTCCAGCTGTTGATGCATGCTATTTTGTAGTTGATGTTTATGGCCAGTGTGAAGAGGTTTGTCAAAAGCACCAAACTTGCCCGTAGAATTATCTCTAGCATTCTACCTTTATAACATTGGTTTCTTATCACAGGTGTCGGTGTTAGGTGCTGTTTCAAATTTAGAGCGAAACATAGCTGCAAATAACTCTACAAATGCTGCTATTCTTGCTTCATCTATGGATTGCTTGAGTATACTACAACCTGATTCCCTAGGGGAAAAGGCTGATTTAGAAACTCATGAAAAAGACACCTCTGTACCCCCTTTAGGTGCTACTCAAACTCCAGATGACAACTTGGTGTTGACAACACCAAATCAAAATGACATTGCAAACTTAACTCTAGTCCACCAGTCCTCACATATATCAGCATCAGGACTTTCAAATCGTAATTCATTTTTTCTAGCTGATGGTCAGAGTGCTCAAAGCTCTAATAGTTCCAACTCCTATTTATGTGGTAGTGCAGTTGCATCCTTTAGCTATGGCTGTAGTCCAACTTTATCTGGCCTGAACTCACATACTAATTTAAATGGGTCATCAACAAATTTTATCTATGCTTTGTCAAATGTATGTGATGGGAACAATTCAGGATCAATACTTAATAATTGGATTAGTGGTAGCACTTCTCTTGCTACAACATCTCTACCATCATCCCCTGCAACACCAGTTATTACTCCTTGCCATGCCCTCAAGAGCTATACAAACTGTGGTTATCTGCAAGCATGTGGGCGTTTCACAAAGTTTATAGGCCTTCCAGGTAAGATTTAATTAATATACTTTTAAAAACAAACATTTCATCTTATTAAAAAAAAAATTCTTACAATACTTGTTTGTTTATTTCAGATGGATTTTTTGTTAGGGAAGGGAAAATGTGTTACTGTGTGGACTGCACACCACAAAAGGTTGGAGAGGAGGCATTCCTAAGAAAAGGAGATCCACCGGTGAAATACTCAGTGCCTACAGGGTGGTGCCGTTTTCCACTGCGGCGGCGATGTGTTGGAGACATCTATGAAAATTGGCATGTTGCATATCATGGCACACGTGTGTCAAATTTAAGGCGCATTTTAGACAGAGGTGAATTGCTAATGCAAGGTAAGTCTTTATGAGTTCATTTAACTTGTATAGTTACAAGATTTTGGTGAAAATTAACTAAGTATGTGCACATACATTTTTTTTTTTCAGACAACCTTGGTCTAACTGTCTCAAGTAGCGAAAATCTGAAAAGCAAGGATGATGATACAAATTCTGCTGGATCTCCTCTGATCTTGTCCCCATCCATAAAGTTTGCTGCAGCATCTGCCACTAAACATGAGTAAGTTAAAATTGTTCTACTTTTATTTTTGAGTAGTACATAATAACACAAGATGATCCTAATTTTTATTTTCTTCTAATCCTCACTCGCATTAACAGGTTTGTTGATCCTAAAACTAGAAACAAACTCCTAGTACATGTTGCATTTCAAGTCTTAGTCCGACCAGGTTCCTATAAAGTAGGCCCTCCCTCTATGGATGGAGTAACTCACTCCATTGATCCCCATTTGGATCCTGACTCTTCTGAATGGGTAACAAAAGAGAGAGGAGCTACTTTACTGCAAGCTTTACTTCTTCGGCTAGAAGGCTTAGACTAACCTGAAACTAGACAAAGCTAAAATTGTGAGCCTCAATCTGTATCCAGTTCTCTAAACCATTCTCATTCACCGGTTTCTTCAGGTGGGACGGGACAGGGGAGATTTTGCTGTATTTGCTTACATATAGGCAGATTGCATTGCCAACTGCCTCTATCAGGCATCTTATAAGGGCGTGTATGACCCTCTCCCGGATCCCATCTCTGGATTGCCACATGGGTCATTGGTTAATACTCCATGTAGAGTATAAATATGAGGTGTATTTTTGTCAAGTTCTTAAATACTTAATCCAGAGCTCAAGAAAAAGCAATTTTCCTGTTTGAAGAATTTCAGCGCTGTTATTTCTGTTTTGTTTGTGTTGCGTAATAAAAAGCTAAAACTGTAAATACTTCTTTAGCTTTTATAAATAATTTATTTGTTTTCCTGCTTTACAATAGTGATATTGTAGTGTAGTCAAGCTTTTTATAATCCTGGCCATTCTGAAGGGTATGGTTTTACTTAAAGGATAGCATCACATAGATTTAGATATGTTTTACTGACTGATTGATTGTTAGGAACTACTATTTGTTATTGTTGTTGATTTGTCTTGTGCCTTCCTCTTTTCTTTCTTTAATTTCATATTTTTGTTTTCCATTTTAAATCATTACGATGGGCCTGAATTTTAACAAATACATACTAAAGGAATTGATTGTAGTAGTGCTTCTTGTTCATGTTTTTTTTTTTTCTTTTCCATCATAGATAATCATGTTGTGTTTAATACTTCTTTAGGGCATTTCTGACTTTTCTTTCTGGGATGCAATTTTATTCTTTTCAAAAAGATATTGCTACCATCTCAACTTGTTTAGTGTGTTAAGTTGTAAGGAAACCAAAGTTACCATGTGTGTATATGTGATCATCTAATTCCCCCATCAACCCTACACATGTTTTTTGATACATAACATCAATCAACTCTCCTCTTTATGTTCTCATGCATTAATTGATAAGTACTCATAATTGCAAAATTTTGTTGCATTGTCATAATTTATATTTGAAACTTTCCTGTCTAAGATAGATCATGCGTCGTTGAGAGTATTTTTGAGTATGGTACTTCAGGATATTTAGTGATTTGACATATATTTTATGTCTCAAAATTTCCACCCATGATAAAATGGTCACTGGCCTACTGATAAAAAATATTGTGTAAAATGTTATTCAGAATAAGTTGTCATCTTCCAGGCATTGATCTAGAAAACTGTAATTTTATTATAATGGTTGTCAATTTCCCTCATTTGATGCACTATTGTCCTACTGTAACAAGATAAATCTAAAGGTTTGAAATTGTGTTGAATGACCACAGGACTCTAGAGCAGCCCAATATGAAGGGCTTGGTATATCATCATTTTAAAATGTTCTTACTTGGTTTGCCAATTATTTATAATGTGCTATAATGTGCTGAGACATTAATGTGATATGGATAGAATACATCACAACAGCCTCAATTTTTAATTTTGGTCTTGCTTTGGCAAAGTACTTGTTTGTATTTACTGTACCTGAAGCTAAACTTACAAACTTAACTCAAATACAGAATTTAATATTTTCTTTTCATAAACAAAGTACAGTGAGTCTTTTCATTTTTTTAAAAATTGACTGGGTAATGAACTTATCCAGCAGCAGTCTACTATTGTAATTGGATACATACGTCCATTGAATAAACAAAATAAATTATGATTTCACTAAATAATTTCCACTCTTCTAATTATTAATATTTAAATCCTTAAACAGCAGAAAGCCATCAACCACAATACATAAGTTTCACCAAAGCAATTTATTTGAAAATACATTATACAAGTTTGACAGAAATATGAAATATGAATGGGCTCACGATTACCTGGGATGAGGGCCGTGAGCTGCCCGAGTTTGACTTATCTTTTCTATGTCCAGTTCAGGGTACTTTTCTTGCAACAATTTCCGATCAACATTGGGAAATCTCTTTAGTAGCTCCTCAACATGTTTCCTGTCTCCACTAAAACAATATAGAGAAAGAAAGAAAATTTAATTGCCTTATTCAATATAACATTAGGGATCAATGATAAAAACCATAGCAACTTACACTTTGGCACGCTTCTTTTTGTTGAGAAGTTTCTCTCTATAAAGTGTAAGAAACTGATCAACTTGCTCATCTTCAATGAATTGAGGATACTTCTCAAGCCATTTTTTATTTAATCTTTTTGGTATTGTGTGCTGTTGCATTTTGTGCAGCCTCCAAAGACCTAGATAAAACAGCCCAAGAAACCCACATTAAAACTCTACAACGGTCACAAAAATGAATTAAACAGTAAAACCACCACATACCTATTCGAGTCAACTCATATTTGCACCTTCTTTCCCCAGTCTCACCCGTTTCAAGCTCAAAGTATGCTCTATTTCTCTCACGAACAACATCTTCAAGATTCTTCATACTCTCCTCAACCTGTCAAGTCAAATAAATCACAAAATAAATCAAGGAAGGAGTAAGCACACCTCAGAAATAGACCACTATGAACTCTTTCATTAGTGCTACCTTGTATATCCGCTCTGGACCTGGGAGAATATTAAACTGATAGATGTCAGCCATAGTAAGTAGCATGTTGCGTTCTTTTAGTAGAACATACCTGGAAGAATAAACGTTTGAAGCACATTAGATGAGACTCATAATTTTTGTTATTCAAGACTCCCATAATAAAATTTCAAAAGTAATACGAAGACACACCACAACTTATGCAAATCAGTGTTACTCTTAAGACGGAGATCATCTTTCCGCCATGACCGACCGACAGTTATATCACCCTTAGCCCAGTTTTCTTTTGGTTCAAAAAATTCATCCATCGGTGAAGATTCTTCCGCTGTTACATTGGAGGGACTGCTTTGAACTGATGAAGATTGATTCGCAGGCAATGACTCCTTTTTTTCCTCATTCTGTCTGGGCGATGATGAATGAAAGTCGAAGACATGTATCCTAGCGATTAAAATAAAATTGAGTTAGACACACACACACACAAGCTATACACTCCTCAAATCTGTTTTAGGTTAAGAGTACTGGGTTTACTCACTTCGAGTTAACTGAGGCAGGGCGGAAGGAGCGTAAAGGAGTACTGACAAGGTGAAGGAGCGATCCAAAGTACTTTAATGGTCTTGAAACCATAGCGACAAATTTGGATTAATCAAACAATTTTTAAAACTATAGAGAAAACCATAACCGTAGAGGAGGAGCAGAAAGAATCAACATGGAGATGTACCAGTAAATGTGCCATACAGGACATACCCATAGCCTTTGCTCTTGCTTCATGGTTAATCCAATCGCAATCGTAATAGATGTTTGGAAAAGAAACTAAAAAAATCTCTTGTAGGGGGCGGTTTATTGTTGATTGGTGGTTATTTTCGTTTGGTGAACACAACACATCAGGTTTGCGTCACAAAAGGGAGTGTGTGAAGAGTGCAAAGGTGCGCACCGGTGTTAAACCAATGTTCACCTGTCTGCAAGTGCCGGAGACGTGGCGAAGAGCCGGAATATGATTGTACATCGGTAGGCAAGAACTGCGCCGACTTAAATAGTGAACCATGTCCATAAAGGCCTGTGCATTTCGCTTGCTGCGAAATGGTCGGACTCTTCTGCGACACTTTTGGACCAACCCAGCTTCCAAGGACGTTGTGGACGGGGGTATCGTGAGCTCCGCGTCCACGGTGCGAATTGTGCGAGAGCACGCTCGCCGATTGTTAATCGACAATGTCGTTAAGCGGGTATCGAATTCGACTGCTGCCGAACTTAGACGACGAGCTGCCAAACGTTTATTGTATGGCAATGCAGCTCCCTTCCTGGCATTCGTTGGTGTCAATCTTGCTTCTGGCACCAGTATCATCACAGAGGAAGATGAGCTGGAGGCAGCTTGTTGGGGGATAAGGGTTTGTATTTGTTGATATTGCTTAACTTTTCCCCTATATTTATGCACTTCTTGGGATGACATTTCTATCCTACATATTGTTACGGTGTATTGATACGATTACTGCTTGATGAATGCCTGTCAATTGTACTTCATTGATTGGTGTTTACTTTAACAGGAAACTGTGTCAGCAATGGATTGGACATTTGTTGATAAGGAAAGTGATGTTCATAACATTGCAATGAGACTCAATGGACCATTTTCTCTTGAAAATTTTATTTTTGGCAAGGCGATAGCTAAAGGTTGTAATGGCGTTGTTTATACTGCTAAAATCAAATCTGGTGAGCTCATTATTCTTTAGATTACTGATAATGTGTAAATCCACATATCATAAATATTCTTTCACTGTTTTCTTGTAGAGCTCTCCACTGACATGGATTCAAACACAATAGAAAATGATGACAAATTTCCACTGGCTGTAAAAATGATGTTCAACTATGATGCTGAATCAAATGCCATGTCAATTCTACGAGCCATGCACAGAGAGACTGTTCCTGCATTAAGTTATTCATCCAATGAAGAAATCTTAGTTTGGGAGGATAGGTAATTGATTATAATACTTATGGTTTGTTATGGTTGTCCTTTTCAAGTTGTATGGAGACTATATTTGTTTGAACTACAAAAGAGAAATACATGACAAATAT